GGGATCGAGTCCCACATCGGGCTCCCTGCTCAGCTGGGGGTCTGCTTCTCCCTCTGACCCTCTTCCCTCTCGTGCTCTCTGTCTCTCATTCTCTCTTTCTCAAATAAATAAATAAAATCTTAAAAAAAAAAAAGTGCATGAGGGTTCCTAAAATGTACTTATTTTAAATGTGCAATTCAAAAAGGGGGCGCCTGGGAGACTTGGTCAGTTAAGCGTCATGATCTCAGGGTCCTGTGGGGGAGTGCCACGTCTGGCTCCTTGATCATTAGGGATTCTCCTTCTCCCTCTTCCTCTGCCCCTGCTTCCCCCCCCCACCCCTCCTCCCCCGCTTGTGCACGCTCTCTCTCAAATAATCTTTTAAAAAATAAATGTACAATTCAGTAAGATTTGATAAATGGAAATACCTATGTAACCACCACCATTGTCAAAGTACAGATCATTTCCGTCACCCAGAAAAATTCCTTTATGCTCCTTTATAGTCCTCACCCCTGCCCCATCATAAAGTAGTCACTCTTGTGTATTTTGCTGAGTGTTTTTTGAGATTCATCCATCTTGTTGAATCTGTCAGTAGTTTGTTCTTTTTTATTACTGAGTAGTATTCCATTGATTGGACATACCACAATTTATCCATTCACTTCTTGATGGATACTTGGGTTGTTTCTAGATTTTGGCTATTATGAACAAAGGTAAGAGTTGAAATTTATTTTTTTCCAGCTTGACTTGTTCAAAAGACTTTTACATACTGAATTACTTTTGCCCCTATCTTAAACAATCTATTCCTATGTAACAGATTAACACAAATCTTACTGGGCTTAAAGCAACATTAATCATTTATTGTCAGTTTCTGTGGATCAGGGGTTGGGAGTGGCTTGACTGTAAGGTTCTGGCTTATGGTCTCATAAGATTGCAATCCTCTAAATTAAGGCTTGACTAAAACTGCAAGATACACTTCTGAAGGGGGCTCACTCACATGTTTGGTAAAGTGTGCTGTTGGTAGGAGTCCTCAGTTCCTCTCCAGTTGGGCCTCTCTGAAGGGCTGATAGTTAAATGTCCTCATGACATGGTGAATGGCTTCTCTTAGAATGATCCCAGAGACCATGGTATAAGCTGCAGTGCCTTTTAAAGGAGGTCACATATGGTCACTTCTGCCATATTCTGTTGGTCACACAACCAATCTTAGGAAGAAACTACACAGGGATATGAAAACTGAGAGTGAACAGTACAAGTTATGAATACCAGGAGGCCAGGATCCTTGGGGGGTTATCTTGAAGGATGGGTATGACAGTCCCTCCATCAAAAATGAACTGAAGATAGATATGTGGTTTTATTTCTGGATTTAATTTGGTGCCACTGATCCGTTTGTCTTTATGACAGTAACAATATCTTTATTACTGTAGTTTTATATTATGTCTTAAAATCAGTGTAACACTTTTCTTTTTCAGAACTGTTAACTATACTAAGTTATTTGCATTTTCAAAAAAATGTTAAAGTCATCTTGTCAGTTTTTACAAAAAAGAAACCTGCTGATTGGGATTGCATTCAATCGGTAGACCCAGCTTGGAGAGAATTGACATCTTAACAATAATATGGACATATCTTAATATAATATGGCACGTCTCTCTAATTACTATGTCCTTAATTTCTCTGAGCCATGTTTTGTAGTTTCAGTATATAAGCGTTGCACATATTCTGTTAAATTCATCTTTTAAGTATTTTATTTCTTATTAGATACTATTGTAAATGGTATTTTTTTGGTATATGGTATTTTTTAAATTACATTTTTCAGTTCTTTGAGAGTACATACAAATATAATAGTTATTTTTTTTGTATCAACCTTTTATCCTGAAATCTTGCTAAATTCACCTGTAAGTCTGGTAGCTCTTTTTGTGTATTGTACATATGGGATCATGTTATCTGTGAATAAAGACAATTTTACTTCTTCCTTTTGCATAGGCTAGACCCTACTATATCTAGCTTAGAACAATGTTGAATAGAAGTGGAAAGAGCAGACATATTAGTGGGAAGAAAAAGAAAAACTGCATAATACCAATAGATGCAGAAAAAGTATTTGGAAAAAATCCAATATCCATTCCTGAGAATCCATGTAAATGTAAACTCTTAAGAATATAAAAGTGTATAAAGAAGATGTGAAACCAAAAAGTTTTGAGTTTGATTAGAGTAACCAAAATGCTAACTGCTTGGAGGAGGTAGGGATTCATAATCTAGGGTCCCCAACACTTGTATAGAAAAAAAAAAATCTTTATTTTTCCTTAACCTCTAGTATTTGTTTCTATTTTGAGTGCAGGCAACAAACCACAGTAGTGATATTAGCAGCAACTGTTACTTTGTCACCAACAAATACTACTTTTAACTTTCCTTGTATCTTTAAAGTTTGTTTCTTGAAGACAACATGGTTAGGTCTTGCTTTCTTATCTTGACTTCGAATTGGAATTTTGGAATATTGGAATAGATGATTTACATTTAATGTAATGGTGTGGTTGCCTTTTAATTCTGCTCTCCTGCTGTTTGTTTTATATTTTTCACATCTTTTCTTTGTTCTTTTCTGCCTTTTTGTATTTTTTCTGCTGTTTTTGGATGAATCAGTTTGTTTTCATTGGCTGCTCTGGGTTTTACAGTATGTATCTTTAACATACGACAGTTTATCTTCAAATAATATTATACTACTACAAATACACTGTAAGAACCTTGAACAATATACTTCCAGTCCCCTTCCTTTTTTTGTGCTATTATTGTGGTATTATTGTGCTATTACTTCTGTGTGTGTTGTAAAACCTTGTAGTATATTGTTACTTAGTTTTGCTTTAAGTGGTCAAAAAGGTCTTGTAGATTTACTCTCATTCACCATTTTTGGTACTTTTTATTCCTTTTGTAATCTTCATTCCTTTATGTAGATCCAGATTTCCGTCTGTTACCGTTTTCTTCTACCCGACGAACTTCCTTTGCTTTTTTTTTTTTTTAGAGATTTTTTAAATTATTTATTTATTTGAGACAGAGAGAATGAGAGACAGAGAGCATGAGAGGGAGGAGGGTCAGAGGGAGAAGCAGACTCCCTGCCGAGCAGGGAGCCCGATGCGGGACTCGATCCCAGGACTCCAGGATCATGACCTGAGCCGAAGGCAGTCGCTTAACCAACTGAGTCATCCAGGCGCCCTTCCTTTGCTTTTTTTAAATGGTACTGGTAAAATTTTTTCCCCAGCTTTTCCTTCTTCCTTCCCTCTTTCCTTCTTTTGTTTCCTTTCATTTCCTTTTCCTTCCTTCCTTCCTTCCTTCCTTCCTTCCTTCCTGAAAAAAACTTTATTTCACTTTCATTTTGGAAGGATAGATTCATTGTATTTAACATTCTAGATTCACCATTTTTTTCTTTAAGCATTTTATTTTATTTTTTTAAGATTTTATTTATTTGAGAGAGAGAGAGCATAGGGGGCAGGGGTGAGCAGAGGGAGAGGGAGAAACAGACTACACACTGAGCGTGGAGTCCTATGCAGGGCTCAGTCCCACGACCCTGAGATCATGACCTGAGCAGAAACCAGGGGTCTGATGCTTAACCGACTGAGCTACCCAGGCGCCCCTTCTTGAAGCATTTTAAAGATACTCCATTTTCTTCTGTCTTGCATATCTTCTCAAGAAGTCAGTCAGTCTTCTGGGATTTCAAGTGAATTGCCTGTTTTTCAACAAGGGGAACTTTCCTGACCAAAACTCCCAATATTTCTCAGCACCTGGAATTGTTCAGCTTATAGATCCCTATATATTCTTTGCCTTTACCTCATGGAGTTTCATCCTGCATGCTCTGCTTAATGTTTGGTCAGAGACTCGAGTGAACGCCTGTGCAGATTTCTGGAATTTTCTGTGCTTAACTCCCTCTTCTCTGATACACATTCTGGTCTCTGCTTGAGTTCTTCCCCCCTGTACCTCAGTCTGAAAAGTGCCTCCAAGCAGAAAGCCAAGGCAGGTGTAGGCCTCACTTCATTTTGTCACATCACTCGGCGATCATAGTCCTATACTGCTTATTGTCAAATGTCTGAAAACAGTTGTTTCACATATTTTATCTGGCTTTGGTTTTTACTGTGGGATAGAAAGTCCATTCATACTTATTCCATCATGGCCATTAGAAATTCTTTCCTGCCTTTTTACCTTTTAAGATAACTGTGGAGATAGGGCGCCTGGGTGGCTCAGATGGTTAAACGTCTGCCTTCGGCTCAGGTCATGATCTCAGGGTCCTGGGATCGAGTTCCGCATCGGGCTCCCTGCTCCTTGGGAGCCTGCTTCTCCCTCTGCCTTTCTCTCTCGCTCTGTCTCTCATGAATTTAAAAAAAAAAAAAAAAAAAGATAACTGTGGAGATAAAAAAGATAAAGTTTATATATTTTTTTTTATCCTTTCTAGCAATTTGGGCCTTATGGAGTATATTGCTAATACCTACTTATAGAGTTTTAACAATTTCATTAATTAACATCCCTTTCGTATCCTAATAATTTTCAAGGTAATATTTTACATGGTTCAGCTATAATAGAATAATGATCAAAATAGTATATAATTACCATGATATTTTAAGCAAATAAAATAACATATACTTTAATGCTAATGAGTGAATTTTTCAAAAAAGTGTGTTAGTTGTTTAAACAATTGCTTTATAAAGAATTGGGTTCATGATTGTAGTTATAAGACAACTACTAGTTTTAATCACCTTATTTTCTAGTCAGTCACTTCCAAGTAACAGTTACTTACAAGTAACATGAACAGGCTCTAATGGTGATTGATGCCTAGTCAGAGATGATCTTTAATGAATTAAAATGCCTGGCAGTAGTCCTATAAACTTAGCTTAGAATCTGCATGGTTTTACTGTGTGCCTGTCTTCCTCTTAATAGTCTTAAAGGAAAAAGCAAACAAAAAACAAAATACCATATATTTCATGTAACAGTTGCACACTCTTGGCTATTCTCAGCATGTTTATTAATCTTTAGGTTTTTGTTTTTTTCCCCAGATTGCCGGTATTTAAACAGACCACATCATGCGTGAGTACAAGCTAGTGGTCCTTGGTTCAGGAGGCGTGGGGAAGTCCGCTCTGGTAAGTTAGCCACCTAACTCTAACTGAATTAGCATAGTACAAGAAGAACATTGATATTTGCTTGCCTTAGACGTTTAGTCACTAGTGAGAAAAGGTGGCAGTATTTTTATATGCCTAGTATCTGACCTGCAGGAGGCGACAGAGATTCATTCAGTAACCACACATGTGTACGGTCTGTACAACGGTGGCTCATTCATTCTTTCACTTACAAATGTTTCCCGGTTGCCTACCATGTTCTAAGCACTCTGTGATTGTGATTCAAAGAGGAATAAGATTGTTCTCATTTTTAAGGAACTTACATTCCAGGTGGGGAGGACTGATTATTTCAGATACTAGTGGAGTAAGTCCTGCCTGCTCCCACCCCAGACTTAAGTGAAATGAAGTTAGTTTTTGTTTATTTAGTAAACATTTATTGAGATTCTACACTGTCAACTCTAGGGTTACAGCAGTGAACAAAAACAGTCATAGTCCCTCGGAGCTTACCATATAGTGAAGGAGATACAATAATTAACAAAGTTAAATGAAGAACTCCCTCATTATAATTCTGAGAGAGATACTTTGAAAGAAAAGTACAGACTGTTAAGAGAGACCCTTATGACAAATGAACCTCAATTAGCATTTGAACAACTGAGAACAGGTCACAATTGCCAAGGCAGGAGTGAACTGGAAGGAAAGTAGAAGGAATGAAGTGAGAGGCAGGGACCACGTCATGACTTGAAGACCATATAACAACTTGAAACTTACTCCTAATGACAGTGAGAAGCCATTGAAAGTGTTTTTTTCGGGGGTGGGAGGGGTGTTGACAGAATTGGATATAAATTTTAAACAGAACCTGTGTGAAGTAATTTAGAAGAGAAGCTGAGTGGACATGGGAGACCAGTTGGGAGTTGACTGAACCCGATTGTTTGTGGAACCTTATATTGGGGCTGTGCCAGCGAAGAAGAGAAAAGTAGATGTTTTGAGAATTAAATAACTCGGTGCTGGATTGATGTGAGGACTAGGAGAGAAGGCGCTGTTGAGGATGATTCCCAAATTTCTAGTTGTTGAGCTACTAATTTTATGGATGGATCATTTAAGTAAAAAGGAAACACTGGAGAGTGAGCAGATCTGAGAGTAAAAATCAAGAGTCATGTCAAATTTGGTTATGTGAGATGTTAAAGTAAATACATCAAATAAGTAATTGGATCCTCAAGATAATAAGCTTAAGAGAGACTTGTGGTATGATTTGGGGCGCCATGAATGTATCAATGGTATTTAAGTTCATGAGAATTATGTTTCTTTTAAATTAGTACCTGTAAATTAGTACCTCTGTGGTGAATGAGAATATCTGTCATTTTAGATGCACATATTCAGGGTACCTGGCTGGCTCAGTCGGAAGAGCATGCGACTCTTGATCTTGGGATCGTGAGTTTAAGTCCCACATTGGGTATAAAGATTACTTAAAAAAAATAATAATAATAACTTAAATGCATATAACTTTCAGCAAGTCTCTTGAAATTTCACGTATAAGTTCATATATACAAAATAACATGGTCAAGGATATCGATCACAACATTCCTTACAGTGGTAAGAGTTTGGAAACAACCTAAATGTCTACCAGTAGGGGCTGGTTAAAAGTAAGTTTTTAATATACATTTTGAGTAGAATAATATATAACTATTAAAAAGAATGCAGCAGCTCTGTATATACTGATATATAGTGATATCTAAGATGTATTATTTAGGGGGGAAACAGGTACCAAACAGTGTAGACTATCATTTGATAAGTAAAAAAAGGAGGCTAAGGGGGAAGATAGTATAAGATGTAGAGACTATCTCTGCAAGGTTAAATAAACTACAGATAACATACTGGTTACTTGGGGGTGGAATTGGATAATTGGGAACAAAGGTGATAGGTAGGGTTGGTTACCACTGCATACTCTTTTGTGTCTTTTGTATTTTGTCCTCTGTCCATGGGATTACCTTTTCAAAAATAAATAAAATAATTGAAAATAAAAATCCATAGGAATAAGTGAGGTTGTCTAGGAAGAGACTAGAGAAAGAAGAACTCAGGACTGAGCTCTGAGTGCTTCTCAACCTTTAAAGAGTAGGTAGGATTGAAGAATCCAACATAGAAGAGTATGTCTTATACTTGCATGTAAGGAAAGCAGCTTTACTTGAAGTCAAGTAAAGGAGAGGAAAGAGATGATACAGAAACATGGAGGTAGCTGGACTTGTTAAAGGCAAGCTTCAGTAAGGTCATAGTGCCATAACCATGCTGGGGTGAGTTAAAGAGTAAATGAGTGCTGAAGAAACAGAACCACGATTGTAGACAGGTGAAGTTTGATTATGAGAGGGAACAGAGAGGGGAGGTGAAGCCGGAGGAGTTGTGGAGTTAAGGGAAATTTTTTATTTCTGGGTGGGAGATGGTAGAGCAAACGGTTTGTGTGCTGGAGGCAGTAATCCCGTGGAAAGGACAATGAAGACATAGGAGAGGAAGGGAATAATTGTTACAGGGGTCAAAAGTTCAAGAAATAACAGAAGTAAAATTAATGAATCATTGAAGTGGTAATTAGTACGTTTATTGTGCACACACCAAAAAGACAGTTTGCAAACCGGAACCTTCAAAACCAGAACATGGAATGAGGCTCAGGGGTATATTGTTATAAAGCAGCTTATAGAGTGAGAAAACAGTGGCTTTATTCTTCAGTGACTGGTTATAGTGTTAGAATTTTCTTTAAATGATAGAGAATTGGTTAGTGGTTACCTCAAATCAACCTTGGGAAACAGTGTTAAGTTTTGCTTTTGACTTCCAGAAGCATAAGCAAGAAATGACCCCCAGGTCAATTTAGCTTTGCTAAATAAACTAAATTAAGCTTTGTTTACAGACTAAACTGGTTTTATCTGCTCAGGGAATTTTCAGGCTGGTCTCTGTTTTTGATTTTAACACAGAAAGGACAGTAGGTAAGGAAGGAAGAGGAGGATCCAGTAGGAAAACGGAAGGTATAAAAGTCGGTATGAATGAATAAGATGTCCCTGAGAACTGAGGAGATGAGATTCAGAGAAACAATGAAAGCTTGCTTTAGGAAGAAGGAAGTGAAAAGTGGGAGATTGTTTTTCATTTTTTCTAGTCTCTAACAACCGCTTAGAGAAAGCACTTGGGTTCTCATACCTGCTTCTGCATCTAGTATCTAGCTATAACATGTTATATACCCTTTGGAAAACACTGTAAATTTATGAGAGTAAGCAAGTACGTCATGGTATTATGAGAACAATAGGTTTTGTTCTAAACATCTGCTCTGGACCACATTTTGAGAACCTCTGTTCTAGTATAAAGCATATTAGGAAGTTTTCCATGTTTGAATTCTATGTAGTGCTAAGAAGATGAGGTGATTAAATCCTTGATAAAAATAACGATTAAAGTTTTTGGTGTAATTATATCCTGAGTCTCCTTTGAAGAACAGGAGCTTAGAGGAAGAAGTGTGAAGTTTACTATATTCCGGCTAATGTGTTTAGCTCAAGCTAAAATCGTGCATGTGACCTCGGGCCACATTCTTACCCTTCCTTGCTTTTAGGTGACAATGTACCAGACCTTGTTTCAAAGCTGTCCAGGCAATATTTCACAACCATCTTCTGTACTTCTTTTTATTTACCAAATGATAAAATACCTAGTTTCAAGTCTGTATTTATAGAAATCTTAGAGAAAGAAGTAGGTAATCTGAAAAAGATGAGTAGGCAGTATTTCCGATGAAAAAAGTAAGGCTTTGGAATCAGAAAGGTTGTATATTTGAATCTCAGTGGCAAATGGGAAAAATACCTACTTCTAGGGAGAACATGAAACTTGAATGTGACTGTAAATTTAGTAAATTCAGTACTTTCTAATTTCCTTTTCTCTTTTCCCCCACAATTAGACTGTTTTAAGATTTTCAAAGATTTAGAACCTTTTGTTTATTCCTTTAAGAGCATGAAATAAAAGTTACTATAGATGCGTAAAGAGGTATTTGGAGTTTAAATACTGATAAATTTTCATTTTTTCATTAATTTGGATCTGTGTCCTTATTTGTATCTTCATTGTATTTTGAAACTTAATATAGTAATTATTTCACAGTGGGAGTTGGCTGCAGTATTGTTGACAGCTTTTTAACACAACCGCTTCCTTTCTCAATGTGCCCTCTTAGTTGTGGGTGTATCCCTGTATTGAAAAATAATGAGACTGTACATCTGCATGTTTACTCAAAATTTTCACATAATTTCATTTAGTCTTTATCACTTATAAGGGTGTAAGTAGCATTCTAGAAGAGTTGATTTTTCTTTTAAGTTCTTAATTTTTCTCTGCTTCTTTTTTTCTAGACAGTTCAGTTTGTTCAGGGAATTTTTGTTGAAAAATATGACCCAACGATAGAAGATTCCTACAGAAAGGTAAAATGTGAAACTTGTGTACACATGCTTACCAATAGTTCCTTGGGACTTTAAAACTTGACCCATAGAATTGCTTTTTAAAAATATTTTTTGAGAAGTGATACAAATGTTTCATACCTGTTTTTAAAAATTTCACAAGGACAGAATATTTCTCATTAAATACTACTTAGCTACAGAGAACTCTATGCTCTGTTACTGATTAGTAATCTGTTCTTTAGTGTACACATTTTCCTGGTGGAGGGGTTTTTTTAATTTAGAAAAATTGCATATAAATAGGTATATTTTTGACAACTCTTTTTGTGAAGTAAAATTAAGATCGCTTTTATTCTCAAAGTTACCCTGTGACCAAAAGTTTTTATTTTTGTTTAGTTTTAGAATAACTTTAAGGGATTTTATCTTTAGACTATAAGAAATTAGATACTGGATTCTATATGATACCATAATGGTAGCTACATGTCATTACACATTTTCCCAACCCATAGAATGTACAACACCAAGAGTAAACCCGTAATGTAGACTGTGGACTTTGCATGATAATGATGTCTCTACGTAGGTTCATTGAGTCTAACAAATGTGCCACTCTGGTGTGGGAGGCTGATGATAGGAGAGGCTTGTGGGAAGCAGGAGAAGGGTATATGGAAACACTGTACTTTCTGCTCAATTTTATTGCGACCCTCATGCCAAAGTTCTAAAACATAAAGATTATTCAAAAGAAAAAAATTCAGTAGTCTTGACAGAATACTATTTTATTTCATTATAAGACTAACATTATGAGGAATGTTCATGATTTTATTTCCCAAGTATGTTAAGGGGGGAGGAAGAGAATTAAACCTACCTCTCAACAAATAGGAAAGGATTACTTTGTTAAATGTTGTAGAATTTATCCTTAATAGTGTTACAAGTTTTGTTAAATTATGTAAGGTCATCCAGCCATACTGGCAGAGCAGTTTCGTTATCTGCAAATTGGAAATAAAGTTGTGTTCCAGGTACATTGAGAAACTACAGACCTAATTCATTGTTCACTGAGCATGCCCACTTACTGATTGTGCAGATGACCACAGGAGTCCTGTAAGTGGTGTGACACTGAGTTTGTAGGTCCACCAGTGGTGCTTCTCAGCAATCCCTGATCTGACGCAGAAGATTTTAAAATAGGCCTTATGTTAATACACTTATTTTTAGAAGACAGTGTTGCCGTACTAAAATTGCTCCCAAACAAGTTGCTGGCTAAAGCTGTAACTACAAACAGATCTGTACCTAGAATGTTGAAGATTGGACTTTTCTTTATCACTTCTTTATTAAAAATTTTCCACACAGTTGATAAGTTGATACTTCTTTTAGGCCAACCTTCTCTTACTTTATAAAACACTGGGGAAATACAATTCAGTATATAAAATTTCACCTTATGCACATAGCTTTTCCAAAGACATACCTTTTCCTTAAAGTCTTGAGGACTGTATGAGTTCAGTGTTACTCATTTTAGCACCTCTGCATTCCCCTTATCTCTTAAAATTTTCCTATATTAAATTTGGGGCGTATTTTAGTAAAATTTTCTTTAAAATCTTATCTGCATTTTGAGCTATTTAATACTTTTGTGCTTTGTTTTCTTTGAAGAGAATACAAATATACATATTTTTATACATTTTTATTTCTGTTAGAACTATACCTGTTTGTTGCAGTTTTTCTTAAATTGGAGTCTATGACCGTTACCTTCTAATAATAGCAAAAATCATTACTCAGTTTATAGTGGTCAGAAAATATCTAAACTCAGCATTAACAGTCCTGGCTTCCGTAGTATTAATAGAACATGCTTGAGACCTCCTGTTGTTTATTATAGTGCCAAGTTAAGTCTCAGCCAATAGAGCAAACTCCTAGAGAAAAGGCTTTGTAGTTGTTAATAGGTACTTGGAGTGAAGAGGTGGCAGGAAAACAGACTGACATTTTGATTTTGATATTACTCTTTCATTTTTCCTCCCTTCCCCAACAGCAAGTTGAAGTAGATTGCCAACAGTGTATGCTCGAAATCCTGGACACAGCGGGAACAGTAAGGATGTTTTCTCTTTTTCTGATAGATTTTAGTTAACTAGTGAACAGGTTTTGTCATCTGAATAATTCCTCTGAGTAAAAGTAATTACTCTGATTAAGAACAAATTATCTAAATGTAGGGCTTCTTAAATTTTCTTATGTGCTTCCAACCATCTGTGATGTACTTCATGTCCACATACCACTCTTACATTGTATGTCAAGTTCACCTACAGAATGTGTATGTTGGGTATCTTCTCCCAAATTGAGATGAGGATTACCCTATTACTGCTTTTTTTAAAAAAGGTATTTTAAATCCAGAATTTTAGTTAAAATGGGTATTTCTCTGGGTTTATGTAAGACTTTGTCTCTTGGCACCATAGTCTTTAATTTTTATCAAAATTGTTTTTGCCTTTTATTAGTATTTTAATATATCAAGGGGCTGTTGACAGATACATGTTTTCTGACAAAAATCCTCAGGATTATTTTGAGCCTTATTCTCATCTTTAAATGACTACAGTATGATGACATAAGTATATCATAGGGTGCTTGTAATGATCAAATGAGATAATGATTATAAATCACTTGGCATAATGCCTGTTTCATAGTATGAGCTCCAAGTATTTGCTTTTATTTTCATTGCCTTCATTTGTCATCTCCTTTATAATTTTGTTATTAATTACTGATGATTTCCTGTTATACTGCCATAAATGCACACGTTAAGTGATTTTTCTTTTTTTCCTCCATACATATAGACTTTACCTATTAGGCAGTTCTCAGCTTTAGAATGGATGGTATTCTTAAATGTTATAAGTTGTTTAAAATTTAGCACAAATTTTCCACATAATTTTATGAATGATGAGAAAGTTTCATGTCATTGAGAAAAGCATATAAGTAGACTGGCGCAATTGTAGTGCTAATGATACTATATTTTTCCATTCTTTTGTGGGAAAGGAAGCTTGGGATCATTAGAACTACATCTTTCTTGTATCTGCTGACTCAAAATATCTCCCCCTTTTGCCATTCCAACCTCCCCTAATTTCCTTAGCCTCTGAATCAGCAGTCATTCCTCTCTGTTCCCAGATACCCCCGTAGTTAAAGAGCACTTTTCTACTTTTTCCTTTCATCACCTCCGCAAGGGTGAAGGAGTTTTTTGTTCTTCCTCTTGTCCAAGTTAAGGAAGTTCTTCCCTACTGTAGAGATCTTTCCTTTGTGCTCTTAAATATCTTGTCATTCTCCCATCCTAGTGCTCAGTGTATGGTGTCATAATTGCCTGTTTAGTTGTCTTTGTCCCCAGTGCCTTGCATAAAGCTTGGAAAGTAGTTGATGCTCATTAATCGTGTTCCAGATCACTCCTTATTCCTTGAAGAGTTTTGCTCACTCTCCTCATCACTGCTTCAGTCAGAATTCTTGGTGATTTTAGTATTCAAATAGAACCTATATGGATATTATAGATGATCCATTTCCTCGGCCTACCAGTTTATTGACCTCCATACTGCTTCAGCCATTCCCGCCCATGGTCTTACCTAGACTATCTGATTACCAATAACTGTGATACCACCTTCATCTCATTTTCAAGCATGCTACTCTCTACCTCTTGTTTTTCCATCTCACTTCCTTTTATACCTTCAACTTCACTGGAACCTGCAGTCCATTTATCCCACCATCTTTTGATTGTCCTCATATCCTAACCCTCTCTTCACATGGCTTCAAGTCCATGGCGTGTCATTCATGATCAGTCCTCTGCATGTATCCTAACTCCCTTGGACTTTTCAGCAACCTCCAACTCAGTTGATCACTGTCCTCTGTAAAAATTTTATTCATTTGGCTTCCAGGAATCAACACTTGCTTGGTTTTCTCCCTCTCTCATTGGTTACTCCTAAGTCTCCTTTCCTGATTTGTCTTCATCTCCCCAACCCCTTAATGTTGGAGGGCCTCAGGATTCAGTACTCAGGCTTCTCTTTTCTAACAGCACTTTCTTGGAGGTCATCTTTAGAAGCATCAAAAAATTTAATTAGGATCTATATGTACAAAGGAATTATGTACAGTTTCTAAACCACACAGAAAGCATGATATTGCATGATAAGGTGGTTAAGATCTCCCTTCTAATCTTCTAATTCCTTAGTTCATTGTCATTGCTTCTAGTTGTATAAGTAGGGAACAAGAACATCTATCTCAGAGTTTCTAGAAACTGTGTAATAGGTCTTATATTTCCTGTCATGATAGAGTGTAAGAAAAAATTGAGTAGCTTACTTGTGATTATTCAGATGTAAATTGTTCCAGTGTACATTCAAGAAATCATACTTATAATTGTACATTTTTTATTATAGGAGCAATTTACAGCGATGAGGGATTTGTATATGAAGAATGGCCAAGGGTTTGCACTAGTATATTCTATTACAGCTCAGTCCACGTTTAATGACTTACAGGACCTGAGGGAACAGATTTTACGGGTTAAGGACACAGAAGATGTAAGTATTTTTCTACTTGTTTTAAAGATTTTATTTATTTGAGAGTGAGAGAAAGAGACAGAGCACGAGCAGAGGGGGAGAGGCAGAGGGGGAGGGAAAAGCAGAATCCCTGCTGAGCAGGGAGTGGAGCTCTATCCCAGGACCCCGAGATTATGACCTGAGCTGAAGGCAGACGCTCAACTGACTGAGCCACCCAGGCACCCCTGTTTTTCTCACTCTAAGACATACTGCTATCTCTCTGTGGCCAAAAAGTGTTTTTGTTTTTCTGTTAAGAGGATTTGGAGGGTATCTACCACAAACCTAAAGGTGTCTCTGTGATCAAAAAATTTTTTCAACTTTCTGAATTTACCTACAGATTATATGCTAAGATAGAGGGCATGTTTGATAAAGTGCTCATTGTGCTGTGTGTTAATAAGTGCAGTAGGGAAGAAAGAGGAGTCAGTACTTGGGAGAAGTGGGACTCGAATTGAACTTTGAAAGGTGGTAGTTATGTCAGAAACAGTGTTCAAAGAACATTAGTAAGAACCATAATGGTATGTTTCCATTTCTAAAATTCTCTTGGTATAGTTTGTACTAAACAGTTTTTTCCTTTGAGTTATGTTGACGATTTTAATTAACTGGGCTTTTATATTTTTTTCATTTTATTTTTGTTGCAGAATTCTTATTTGATGAATAACATCATTGCTGTTGGGCCTTTTTGCAAAGATGAAATGTATATTTTACGTTTTTACCTCAGTTTTGAACTACAGAGAGTTCCTTTTCGGTTGTATAAATTGGGATATAAAATTTCATTTGTACCTTTCTTTCTGTTTTTGCATGTTCTCTCTCATTATTAATGGGAACATATGCATCTGCTCAGGACCTTAACTTTGGGTAATACTGTAGGCGGAAGGGATTTCTACCATATGACTCATGATCAACGTAACCTAATGAATAGTTCTCTTGCTTCCCATGAGTGATTTATCTAAGGGACTTCTGTTTTCATAGGCAATTATATACAAATCACCGAATTCTGGTGATGTTAATCTCTTTATCTCATGTCATAACTAAAAAAGATGGACTTGTAGATGTCTAGAATGTTTCATCTAACTTGTGATACACTTCTCCCAAGTACTGCTTATTTTAGGTACAAGATCCACCATGTCCCTTAAATCCTTTCTTGTGTGTAGTGTGCATCACCTCACAAATGACTGGGTTCTGTGGACACCTTTTATCTAAGGGTGTTATATAGTTTGTTAGCAACTTGTTTTATTGCAAGTAGGGGCAGCCTTTCTGGTATGGGGAAAAAGGGAAGGCATGGTTGCTTTGTGGCTCTATTTTGTGGGTTATTGTTAAGCTGTTATTCCTTCTTAACATCTCACCTAAACTGGTCTTCAGATCTAATGTCAAACATAGAAGTAGAACCTGTTACTGTGTTGGTCTTGCCAACTACTTTTGGAATTTGTTGGACCTTTGAGATGAAGCACTTAAACCACAGTTAGGCCCAGTGAGTACATTCTTCTCTGCATTGCAGAAGATTCCTTTTCCTTCAGATTTTTGTACTTGGAATTCAGCTATTATTAGTAGTCCACATGAGAATTATGCGATTATATCCTTAAAATAATTTAGCAAATGAACGTAGTAGGATCTCTTCCATATTTTTTCTGTCTCTTCCCCCTCCATCTACCTTCTTTCCCCCAATGTGCATACATAGAATTTTTTTAAGCACTTGGTGAAGCTTATAGTCCTAACTAATACATTTCAATTGGTGACAGGTAGTTGCTTACTTAAAAGAGGCTAAGGAACAAGTATGCTAGTGCTCACATTACGTTTTTTTCCTTCCCACAGGTTCCAATGATTTTGGTTGGCAATAAATGTGACCTGGAAGATGAGCGAGTAGTTGGCAAAGAACAGGGTCAGAATTTAGCAAGACAGTGGTGTAACTGTGCCTTTTTAGAATCTTCTGCAAAGTCAAAGATCAACGTTAATGAGGTAACCTACAGCTGCTAGGCAGCACAAACAAGTGCCTTTTTAGTTACCTTTAAGTTAATAGCCAAAACCAAATTTTTTGAAGAAAAAATTTTCTTCTAAGTGGTCTTGATTCTAGCAGTGTACAGAGAACACTAAGTAATTCCTAGAAACCATATTCCCTCACTCGAGTAAAATCACTTTGATGGCTGTGAAGAAGACACTGATATTTACCTTATTGGCAAAGAGAAAGTTTAAGCTAAGCAATGTGTTTCAATCCTGCTAAGCTTCTGAATGATACGCCAGAAGGTGGTGTGTGCACATGGTCCGGTCACCCTTGCATTGTAACAGTTACCTATGCGCATGTGTGTAAAGAGGTTGTAAAGTCAAGTAGGAAAATACAAAAATCAAAGTAGTTACTGAGCTTGTGAACTTATGTTATACAGAAAGATAATACCTCATGGATACCACAGAATTTGGTGTTTTGAGTCGTGCCTGCCTTTGGTTTCTGACTCAAAGGGAGGAATCTGTGAGCATGGGCATGGAACTGGAATTCACCCGCTCTTTGAGGCCTGGTGCAGCAGGTGCCCAAGGCTTTTTTTGTCTGTGACTTAAGCCTTCCACTATCCTGAGAACGTAGCTGTGACAGGAAATGCTTAATAAGCATGCCCGCTGCCTGGGTGTCAATCCAGTACCTTCCTGGATCCCTGAAAGATCCGTGCACTTCCACCTGCCGCCACCAACTGACCAAAACCTCAAGAGGTTCTCTTTGCTTTTGTTTGTTTTAACATATTTAACATAAGCTTTTTTAAAAAAACCAACCAGCCAACCAGAGTAGGCTTCTTTCCTTTCCCCGTGATGCAGAAGTCTTCACTTGCCAGTTTGCTTGTCATTTGTGGTATCACAGGTCATCGGTCAATTTAGCTCACTTATAACATAGGTGAGACTTATGAGTGCCTTAGGTTATCAGCATCCTGTGTTTTTGTTTGCTGTTTCTCTCTGGCCTTTGGGTCTGTAGGTCACTTTTCCTTGATTTAATATTATGGTTATAGGCTCTTGTTTGACTTTTAAAATGACTAAGTTACTTTAAACATCTGACAGGCAAAAAAATTAAGCTTGCTACAGATCCTCTGTTTTCAAATAACCAAGAATGTTAAAGTTTACTTTTTTAGGTAAACCAGTTTTTATAAGTACATAAAAAATTCATAAATTTCATTATTCAGCAAATATTTATTGCATGCTTATGTGTCTAGCAGTGTCTGGCACTTTGTTCAGCAAATATTTATTTTGTGCCTATGTGTCTGGCAGTGTGTCAGGCACTGGGGTAATCCCAGTGATCCAGACAGACACTATTCCTGCCCTAGAGAAGTTTGCATCCTAGTGGGGAACAAGTCCCTACTGAGATCTTCAACAGTCATTTCTTTTTCACTGCCAAGTAAATGAAAGGAAGTATGATATGCTTTTAGCTTCAACTTTCTCTATTGTGTAATTACAGTTTTATAGATGTTACTTTAAAAATTTTACTAATCATAAAATTTTAAGTTTGTTTGCTTTTTAAGATTTTATTTATTTGAGGGGCACCTGGGTGGCTCAGTCGTTCAGCGTCTGCCTTCGGCTCAGGTCATGATCACAGGGTCCTGGGATTGAGCCCCACATCGGGCTCCCTGCTCGGCGGGAAGCCTGCTTCTCCCTCTCCCACCCCCCCGCTTGTGTTCCCTCTCTTGCTGTCTCTCTCTCTGTCAAATAAATAAATAAAATCTTTAAAAAAAAAAAAGATTTTATTTATTTGAGAGAGAGAGAGTGTGTACAAGGTGGGGGGTCAGCGGGAGAAGGAGAAGCAGACTTCCCTCTGAGCAGGGAGCCTGATATGGGGCTCCATCCCAGGACCCCAGGATCATGACCTGAGCTGAAGGCAGACACTCAACCAACTGAGCCACCCAGGCACCCCTAAAATTTTAAGTTTTAGTACAGTCTTTTCTCAAAAAAAAAAAAAAAACAGAGCTAAAAAGCATGGTGGGGGCTGGTGCTCGTGCATCCTCGCACGCTCGCTGTCTCGTAAATAAATAAATCTTGGGGGGAGAAAGCATTAGGATTGATGCATGAGCTTGGTTAGGGAAACAGTAGTACAGGGTCACCATCTGCAGGATGATTGGCCTTAGGGATCTGGTTCCTTGCTGTCCCTGTTCTCACCCTCACTGGTACCCGCCTGCCAGGTTCATAGGACTTGGCTCTGCTGGGGCTGGGTTGGGCCAGGGTCCAGTGAGCACCATGGACTGGAGGTGTTCCTTACTTTTAAAAAGCATTACATGTTTGTGACAACTCACCTGCTACTTGCTAAGCCTCTTGGGTTATAGTTTCCAGTGCCCCAGAGCTCCATTTTCACAGCAGTCTTGTTAAACCTTGATGTGAGGGTTTATTAAAAACGGAGAACAGTAAAACAAAATGGAATACGTTACCTATTTAAGGATCTTTACTCTTTTGAGGGACATACAAACTTTATGCTAGAGTATAATATTTGAGTTTCTTTTAATGTTTCTCTATTTATAGCTTGATAATCCAGCTACAGAGTTCCTTGGATAGTTCATAGTTCCTCAGACAGCTAATGCTTTGTAAATATACATGTGATTTTTGTTGGACTCAAATTTCAGATCACACAGGGATATACTGCTTGGCTAAATAGCCCTCTAATTCCCTGATACCTGTAGCAGAATATATATATTAAACTCTTACCCACACCATTTTTGCTCTGTTCTGAAAGTAGGACTGACAGTACCAGAATCACATCAGTCTTAATCAAGAATTAATTGTTCTTTGCTGAGGCTGGAATAATAATTGGAATCAAGACATCCCAGTTGAGTAATGGCAGAGGGATTGAGAAACTATTCTGTCTTCCCTTTAGATTTTTCTATAGTTCAGAGAGATGAGGAAGAACCTAGGCTGAGGCCTCTAAGCGTATCTAACCAAATACTATAGTTTGAACTTGCCTCCATCACTGAACCAGCTGCTGCGGTGAAGTGGGCAACATTTGCCGAAGAAGTCATTGAGGATATCACTACAAAACCAGTTTTAGTGTAGTACCAGAAACCCAAAACTGGCTGGCGTGAAGAAATATGTGGTTTTGATTCTTGGACTATTTTAGTTTATCCTTTTAATTTTTCATCTTCTAGCTTACGCATTAAGGCTAGGGAACAAAAGAGAACTTGTTCGTAGCTTATGCATATTAAGTTCTTGAGAGAGTTTCAGAGCTGTGAAACTGCTATTTTGTTCATAAATCCAGTGTTTTCAACTTTCTTAGAAATAAGATAATAGAGAAGTTAAATGGACGAAGACGGCAGTGGGGAGGATGGAGCAGAAAGAAAAGAATATAAATGAATCACTTAAAGCTTTGGGATAAAGCTTTTCTTTTTAATAATTTAGCCTTGTAATCTTAGGACCATTTTAAAAAATAAATAGAAGTTGTTTTATCTGGGCACCATCTTAAAGAAATGATTTTTAAAATATTTTACTTTTTAACACTTACTGAAAATATGTAAGAACAGTAAGAATTTTTTCACTCTTCATCCAGATTCACTAGTTAATATTTTGTCAGTGTTTAAGTATCACACTCCTTTACTCCTAAATATGTTAGTGTATGTACCCTTAGATCAAAGACATTTTCTTACACAACCACAGTTATTAAAATCAAGAAAATTGTTATTTACACAGTCCCTGTTTAGTGCATATTCAGATTTTGTTGTTTGTCCCTCTAATGCCCCTAAAAGCTAGGGCCTTTTGATACACTTCTACAAAGCACTATTTATTACAGATGAGTAATAGTAAAGAGATTCTGCGATATTTGCTTCTCGGGTCATTAGTAAGTAAGTATTTGCATTTCATAGCAAAGAACCAAATTCAGCTGATCTGTTGTTTAATTGTTCTAATACTTGGACATACTTAGCACTATGAAACATATAAACATATCGGTATTAAAATAATCTTCTGTGAAATAAGTACTATTGTATTTTTGTCTCTGATGCCTTGCATTTTTCATCCAAAACGAATCCAGAAGATGTAGTAACAGAGATTATTACTTAAAATTGGGGTCACACACTTTTTCTCTTTTTCAGTTTAGCCAAAATTACTATCACCAAAAGCAGCAAACAAAAATCATTTGCTTTTACATGTGGTATCTTGAGGGGAACACGGTTGTCCTATTCCAGCCAAAAATACATAACATGAATCTACTCATGAAGAAACATCAGACAAACCCAAACTGAGGGAAATTCTATAAAGTTACTAGCCATCCATTTTCAGAAATGACAATGTCATGAAAGACAAAGACTGAAGAACCGTTCCAGATTTTAAAAGATTAAAGTGACAGAAAATTAAATGCAGTATGTGATCCTAGATGGATCCTTTGGTGGGGGGGAGCAGGAATTCTATATAGGACATTATTGGGATAATTGATAAAATTGGGATCTGCGCTATAGATGATACAAAGTAACGTATTGGTGCTTAAATGTACTCAATGTGTAACTGTAACATGGGTATGGAAGAATATCCTTGTTCTTAGGAGATACATACTCAACCATTAAGGGACCTGTTGTATGCAGACTACTCTCAGATGGTTTAGAAAATAAGAGTGTATTTAGGGAGAAATGATAAAGTACACATGGCAAAATGTTACTAATTGGTGAGTCTGGGTAAAGAATGTACACAAACAAGTCCTTGGTATTCTTGTAACTTTTCTGTAAGTTTGAAATTTTTATTTTTATTTATTTTCATTTAAAGATTTATTTAAGGGGGAGAAAGCAAGTTCGCACGAGAGCAGGGGAGGGGCGGAAGGAGAGGGAGACAGGCAGACCCCCCATTGAGCGGGGAGCCAGTCACGGGGCTTGATCCCAGGACCCTGAGATCATGACCTGAGCCGAAATCAAGAGTCGGACACTTAACCAACTGAGCCACCCAGGCACCCAAGTTTGAAGTTTTTAAAAATAAAATAAATGTGAAGATTCAAGTTGAGCATTAACTATTCCCTTAATAATTATGTTTTGAAGCATAGACGAGTCCATGACGAATATAACTTCACTACCTTGTTTTTCACTATGAACTTTTTTTCTTAAGTTTATATTGAATATCTAAGAGCAGGTTATTTCCCTCACAGTAAATTGGTAAGTCCTGCTTTACCTGGACTGAAAGCCACCTGGGGCTTCTGAGAAACCTGCTGTTAGAATAAAGCAGCAAAATACAGATCCAAGAGCAGAATAACATTTAACAGAACCAAGATGGTTTTGTGGAGCAAGATCTCAAGTGTTTGTTGAATAAGACTTTTTTTCTTGTTTTTATTTAGATATTTTATGACCTGGTCAGACAGATAAATAGAAAAACACCAGTGGAAAAGAAGAAGCCTAAAAAGAAATCATGCCTTCTGCTTTAGACCCACAGTGAGCAGCAGCTCTGAGCCAGGTAAGGTCCGGAAAGCAGAACAAACGCCTTGCTCACGCTCTTATTTTGGGCTTTCCCCACCCCTAGCCACTTCCCATTCCACCTGTTAGGGTTATTTCCAGGTTTCTGTGTCTTGTAAATGTGATACATGGCTTGTAGATGTGCTCATCTGTTGATAATTTGTCTCTCTCCCCATGAGATGAGATTCTAAGCTGTCCGAGGGCAAGGACCATAGATGTTTTGTTCACCACCGTGTCCCCGGTGCCAGCTACAGAACAGGTATTCTAGAAATAGTGGTTGAATAGGTAGAATTCCTTCCAGGGTCACTCCTGAGTTCCTGCCAAATTAAAGCCGAACATGGGTCATCTGAAACAAAATGCTTAAGTGAACATTTGATGTGTTATTTCAAAGTGAACACACCTCTTTGTATCAATAATAGTCATTCCTCTCTCAGGGTAATCCCTGCCCTGATTCCTAACACCGTAATTGGTTTTGCCTCTCTTTGAACTTAACATTAACAAAAACAGGTATTCTGTCTGGTGACTTTTACTCAAAAATATGTTTTCGAGAATTGCCCTAGAAGGGTACTACTGCAGTAGCATATGGGCCGCAGTAGTTCATTTGCATTGCCTGACTGTACTAGCAGGAAACTTACATATTTTGCTGCTGATGGACATTTGGGTTCTTTTCAAGAACTAAGATGGATAATTCTCTGCATTCTTGCATGAGTCTATGCACATGTGCATCATTTCTACTTGGTATGTACCTAGGAACGAGATGGCCAGACTATACACTATATATGGATAGCATTAGTAGATACTGCTAAAAAGTTTTTCAAGGTAATTGTACCAGTTTACACACCTGCTAGCAGTTGATGAGTTCCATGTCCTCGCCAAAGATGGTACCGTCAGTCTTTTTAACTCAAGCCATTCTGCTGGGTATCTGGTGCATGTTTTGGTAGTCATTTCCTCTCGGTTCTAGGTTGACTTCTTTGAAATGTTTTGTCTATAGGCTTCTAAGTAGTAGTTGACGTTAAGTACCGCTTAAGTTTTCGTTAAAGTGAACCTATTGGAGAGAAATTAGTGGCAGCATTGAAGCTGCCTATCAAGTGAGAAACCAGGCCCTGTGGGACCATTTGTTTCTTTTTATCTAATTGTGTATATGAAATCCCTTGAACAATTTCTCCTTATCTTCACAAACGCTATAAACTATGCCATAAAAGAATATTTTCATGAAGTTATTTTATGAGGTAATTTGGTGCTAGTTATGTGCATATTACTAATCTTGGTTCGGTCAGAGGAAAGGCTACTGTTCCCAATTGAGAGTTGCTTACACTAAGTCTTGTAAGTCTCTTGGGTCCATCGAGCAGATTACCTCTTCCAGAGCACCAAATTAACTAATATGTGCTTCCTGAGAGACTTGGATGAATCTCTCTCTTCAGGGAAACAACTCAATAATTGTACTCCCTTTAATTTAATTTTCTTGGTACCCCCCTTTTAAATGAAGGTCAAGGAAAATGGGTAGAAAGGAGGAAACAGCATGGGGTTGCCTCTGGTTGGATTTAAGAAAGACAGCTTCTGGTCAGATGTTTGCTTTAGGCTTTAAGTGAAATCTTGATTCAGTAACTATAAATCATTAGCTCCGTGAAGGTGATTATTTTAAAATTTGCTGGTGTGTTTGTTTAGGTAAGGGTGCAAAGGTAAGGAAAAGAGGACTTCAGTTCCTGTTCTGAACTATATCATTTAACTCTCCTAGTTAAGTCAGCTGTAGTTGACTGTCTCGTTGATGCCATTACCTTAGCTGAACCTAGTTTAATTTCCAATTCTCTAGAAAATGATTAGCTTATGTTTAAAGGAAGAGGTGCCATCTTCTGGCCTGTTGTGAGCATCCATTCATATACACCCTGCAGTGTATTGTGTTTTACCTGAGAGGAGAGAAATCTTGGCCTACATCTAGAAATAAGACTTTCATCCTGGTTGTATAAATTCTTAGGCTCTGATATGTAAGTCAGCCTAACAATATGTTTAATAAGTCACCTGAGATCTCTGTGGATGTTTGGAAATACCAAATAACGGGTCAATTAGCAGTCAGAATACTTGGCAAAGCAAAGAAATCACAGAGTGATTATAGACTGGAAGTGCCATGTTGATCTCACTTGAAAAGTACCGAGATAAGGGGTAAATTTAAGTAGCTATATATGTTTTTAGTAAGAGTACATGAACCTTGAGGGCAGTGTATCTGACCCTACCCTTTAAGTAAGATTGTATTGAAACATGTTAATCTCTTTCTTGTGTGTCCCACTTCTAAAGACTAGAAGAGAAATTCATCTTCAGGAAATTGTTCCTTTAACCTAATTCTTTTCTGCTGAGCAATACAACTAACGTGGATTCTTCTGCCCTTGCATATGGGGGTCAGCTCTTCTGTGTCATCTCTTCTGGTCCTAACCTGTATTAGAAGTGGTAATCCTAGGGGCGCCTGCATGGCTCAGTTGGTTAAGCGTCTGACTCTTGGTTTCAGCTCAGGTCATGATCTCAGGGTCATGAGATCGAGCCCCCCGACGAGCCCTGTATCAGGCACTGTGCTCAGCTCAGAGTCTGCTTAAGAGATTCTCTCTCTCTCCCCTCCCCCTCCCCCCACTCATGCACTCTGTCCCTCTCTCTCAAATAAATAAATAAAATCTTTAAAAAAGTGGTAATCCTAATATCCTATAGTCCTGAAATGGTTGGATAAAGAAATTTTATGCACAGGTATCATTTCCTTTTTGGAAAAATAAGATGATAATGGGATAGAAATAATTACTGTTTTCCTTTTTACAGACAGGACTGTCAGATTGTGAAACTAATAAAACTGTTTTTTAAACATTTTCAAAAGGAGTTTAAAATAGCCCTGTTACTGTAGCTGTTTAGTATAATTTAGTTGTCTAGTAACACTCAGCCAATATCTGTTTCTTTCTATATGATTGAATATCTCCTTGTTCACTACCATCTTCTGACATCAAGAGATTAACCATATATGTGTGTGTATATATATTTTATATATATATAAATATAAATATATATTCAATGTTCTAGATTACAGGAATGAAGAACTGTTGCCTAATTGGGAAGTGCCAGCATTCCAGACTTCAAAAATTAAATCTGAAGAGGCTTCTCCTGTTTTATATATTATGTGAAGAATTTAAATCTTATATTGGTTTGCACAGATTCCCTGGAGAAAAAAAAAAATTGCTCTGTGTATATCTCTTGGAAAATAAGACAATAGTATTTCTCCTTTGCAATAGCAGTTATAACAGATGTGAAAATAAATATACTTGACTCTAATATGATTATACAAAAGAGCATGGATGCATTTCAAATGTTAGATATTGCTACTATAATCAGATGATTTCATATTGACCTTTTTATCATGATTCCTCCCTGTCAAGAACTAAAAGTTGAACCATTATACTTTATATCTGTAATGATATAGATTATGAAATTTCCCCTCAAACTCATTGCAGCAGATAACTTTTTGAGTCATTGACTTCATTTTATATTTAAAAATTATGAAATATCATTCTGTCATTATATTCTAATTAAAATTGTGCATAATGCTTTGGAAAAATGGGTCTTTTATAGGAAAAAAACTGGGATAACTGATTTCTATGGCTTTCAAAGCTAAAATATATAATATACTAAACCAACTCTAATATTGCTTCTTGTGTTTTACTGTCAGATTAAATTACAGCTTTTTTGGATGATTAAATTTTAGTACATTTTCATTTGGTTTGTGTGTTTTTGTTATTGTTTATAGATTTAAGGCTTTTATTTTATAATGGCCACATTGTTTTAAAATGCAACAGTAGCTCCCTTCTGCCTGTACCTACAGAACACTTGGCTTTAAACCCCTAAGTCATTGGTAATTTCTCTAAGAACAGACCTCACACTTTCTGTTCTAGATGTATTTATTCCTACTATACAGCAGACTACATCAGACTACATAGATTAGTTTTGTATATTCTCTCTTGATCTTAAAGATTGTATCTTATTGAATAAAATATCCCACTGTGTATTATTTTTATATGTAAAAATAAGTTTAATACTGTATCAGGGGTTAACTTTACTATTTCAGATCTTCCACAGCTTGTAATTTCATCAAGGGAATCCTTTTGTCATTGTTAATATGTTGGGTATAAGCCCACCAATGAAATGTTATGTAAAAATATTCAAATTTGCTTTATAATAGATTGAAGAATTTGAGAGAAGTGGGGAAAAGTGAAAACGCATACGGAGAATGTGTCAGTTGCTTTTGCTTCGACTGTATATGAAGTAGTGTAGTAGTCATAGTATGGAAAAGATCGCTAAGTTAAAATTTTAGCTGGCTATATAGTGGTGCTTTTCTTTTCCTTCCCAGTTGTTTCTGTTTTTACAAAGATGACACTTAATGAGGACATGGATCTAGGGTATCGATATGGCTTACGTGTTCTCCATAGAGGTAGAGCAAAACAGCTTGTCGGCCAGTTAAGTGCTGGCGAAGGCAAGAAACAAGCTGAGAAAACCCTGTGCCTTGTCCCCAAATACTGAGGAGGAGACTAGTCCTAGAAAGTCTACATAGCTGCTCAGGGATCTAGATACTGTCTCGTTGCAACTAGGTATGAAGTAGTGTTCATGCCTTGCTGAGACTTCCCAGGAATGTGGTCAGGCCATCGGTTACTAAATTGAGATTTAGGAATAAGATTTCAAATGTAAGCTCTGACCAACCTAAGAAAATGTTAAAATATTGTAAAAAAAAAAAAAAAAATGGAAATTGTATTCTTTTGAGTTTCTAATAAATTTAGTTAACTAATACTTTCCTTCTACTGATCCAGTTACACAGATGTCTGGGATTGAGGGGCCAAAAGTCTAATAAATGCAATAAATTAAAAATAAATAAGTGAAGCATTAGGGCCAGTCTGTCCAGGTCAAGGTGGCATATTTTAAGGTCCTCTACAGCCATTCTGCTTGAAAACTCACCTCTCAGACATGCCTTTGGACTTAAAATTATAGACAAAACATCTCGCACGTAAGTAAAAATTGCTAAATATTACCTGTTACATAGGTTGTGTGGTTATTTGCCAGATAGATAAGAAATTGTTAAGTAAGAGTAACTCCCAAGAGTAACTCCCCTGTGCTGGACTAATAGCATCAGTTTGCCCTCCGTTTCAGAACATGGGAGAGAAAGATGACAGTGCTGGATTCCTTGGTCACATCTTACACAGTCCACTTGGGATCCAATAGGACTGTGAAGAGACGTGCCCTAGAGCACACAGCAGCATGCAGAGCAGGACCCACTGAAGTCAGGGAGATGCATTACTCTCCGCAAGGAAATCTGCCATGCTGAGTAAGGCGGAAGGGTAGCCTGTCAGAAAGGAAGATAGGTGTGCTTTCATCTTGTCCCTGTGGACTCTGTAGTCTTGGTTTCAGAGGGGAGGGTGCCCCAAAATAAGATGTATTTGATGTACTTTTTATAGCTGAAAAGTAAAAAAGCCCTCAAATATATATGAATTTCATATGATAAACATCCAAGAACTGACACCACGTTCGTATTTGTGACTCTTTAAAGTAGAACGCCTTTGGCCAGATGAGTAACATATCATTTAAAGGAGGCTTGATATCATAGTTGATAATTTTTTTCCCATTAAAACACAAATGACTTTAATAGCTTACTAGTGCCCCCAATCTAGTTTTAAAAATTAACAGTAAATACATAATCTATCATTTTACCCTCCACCAGGGGGAGCTTCAGTATCAGTTAAATACTTCTGCAAGCCTTGAATGAACAGTATGCATTCAATCCATCTGTTCTTATAAATAAACACTGCTTGCTTCACGAAGAGGCATAAAGGCCTTTCCTCAAGAATTTCCAATCTACCAGGCAGGAAAGATATGTAAGAAATTCATCAAAGATATGAAAACGCTGTAATTTATTAAACTGGTCACAGAGTTCTCTCAGGAATGTTTGGAGAAATATGGGTGTTGGTATGTTATTCTCTTTCCCCTACAGCTTTGAAGTAATCTCTCTTTGGCATCTTGATCTGCCATCATAACTGACCGCCTTTTACCCCTCAGTGAAACAGCTTGTTTCTTTGAAGTTAGAATGTACTTGGGAAAAATTAATCTTTGGGAAGGTACTGATCTCTATTTTATTACCAGCATTATTAAGACAGGCTACTTGGTCTGGAGCTATTTTTCTCTATATAGGAACGTTCTCCGTTATCTGGACCTGCCCAAGTTCAAATATTTTGCCTCATTTTCCTCATTAGGTACACATATATTTGTCAGTTCATGTATCTGATTTTTGTTTTTAGGACTGAGGGACAGGAAGAAAGATTACCTCAGTTTTTTCCTTGTTATGCAATCACAGTAGAATGCTAGAAGACCTAAAATATGCTCTTAAAAATTATATGTGTGTGGTGAAACCAGAGTGTGAAGAAATTGGTATTTGGAGGAAGAAAATAGCTTGTAATAATAACCTCTTGTTTTATTTGGGTCTTGTACTTATTTAAAAAGGTGCTACTTAAATGTGTATTGAAATAGCCCCTCTTGACTCAGCTCCAAACTTAAAAGGGTAGAGTGGTTTGGGTGCTTGTCCAGGATCTGGAAGAAGCCCATCTTGTGCAGGGAAGGAAATGAATGTGAGCTTTGAGGTAGTCCAGCCACCAAGCTTTTAGTATTTCTATTCCCCAAAAATGTAAAAAATGCAAGTTATTCTTGAAAATGTAGTACAGACATTACATTGAATATGAAATTTTTTTTACTGCAGTTTCATCTTGGGTTTGCTGAATGCACAGTCCATTTATTTAATGCCATGTCTTACTAAAATTTGCTTGTTGAGAACAGCTGGAGACTTTGAACTGGATGCCTAGTTCTGTTTTCTGGGAAGGCGACATCGATTGTTTTGCAGACATTAAGAAGAGCTTTAAAAGGGAATTGGGGGATATAGCTCTGGCTTTTTAAGAAGAAGCCTCCTGTGATTCTGGGCTCAAGGTGTGACATACATTTCCTGCTAATTGCTTCTCTTAAGAAGCATGGGCTTGGCTGTTCCTCTTGAGGAAAAACCTTAATAAACCTTCCCGTTTTAAGCCGTGATGTGACTCTTATTTTGAGCTGTTGTTTTCAGTGTATTTTTTTGGTAAAGTTTAACCATGTGCAAGTTCTTGTGCTTGCTTTTAACCGTGTACAAATTCTTGTAGGGCATATAAAGCAGATGATCCTTAGGGGCCTATCAGCAAATAGTTGCTTCTACTCTATGCCAGGTACTGATCTGCATGTTGGGAATACAGCAGTGAATAATACAAAACAAAATCTTTTCCCTCGAGGAATCTTTGGCAGGAGGCAGAAAAATGTGCGTGCGTGTGTGTTTGTGTGTGTGTGTACGTACGCAATGAGTGCTGTGGAGAAGAGTTCAAAGGCTAGGAGTGCTGGGCGGAGAGAATGTTGTGGTGGGCTGAAGGTTTATATCTTTGCTGAAGTTGCTGTTTGTGTAAATGTTTGAAATGTGCAGCCCACCCAACTGCATGGGGGAAAGAAGGGCCTTCGGTGCATTGGGAAGGGTCTGCAGATGCCATGAGATGGACGAGTGCCTACATGTTCAAGTACAGTTCAAGCACTGGCTGCGTGGGGTCCACAGAAGGGACTTCAGCAAAGGGTATAGAGAGCATGATCTGACAGCCTCTCATCAGGACACTCTGGCTGCTGAGTTGAGAATAGCTTGTAGAGACCAGTTAGGAGAAAGTGGAGCCGGCAGGACCTCCTGACTCAAGTGCAGTGTGAGAGAAAGAGGAATCAAGGATGACCCCCAAGATTGCTTGCCAATAATCAAGATAGTGCAGATTGTGGCAGAAGCAGGTTTGGGAGTTCCGTTTGGAACAAAGTGTTGGGAATGGGTCAGATCCTCGAGTTGCACTGTAGGCAGTTGGACAGGTGTCTGGAATTCAGATGAAGAGACCTGGCCAGGAGGTTCACACCATTTGAATGTTTAAGAACGTGGAGCTGAATAGGACTGCTAGTGTTGACTGTAGGTAGAGAAGTCCAGGGACTCCATCATGAGGTTGGGAGATGAAGAGGGATTGGCAAAGGAGAGCATGAAGGTCATGGTGACCTCGATGGGCCATCAGTGGGGCCGTAGGGGGCATTGGAAAGGTCAGGTGCGGACTCCTGTTAAGACGGTTGCAGCAGCACATGTTGGTGCACGCCTAGGAGTGGCCCACTGAGGAGGAAAACAGGCTACAGGGACGGAATCTAGCACACAAGTAAAGGGGCTGAGCCACATAGGAGCGTGGGCAAGCATGGCGGTGGGAAGAAAGGATGGGATTGTAGAAGCTGGGAGGGCACAAAGAACCAATAAAAAGTACCGTAAAGAAGTGTTCGGCAAAGTAGTGGGAGAGAGAAGGGACCGATGCTTTCTGTTCTGGGGGAGCCAGAATGCTTCAGGGAGGGGAGTTTGAACTGGCCTTAAAGGGTAGAATTTCAGTAGGTGAGCATGGGGTAGAGTGTCACAGATTTGCAGGAAACGGGAGCAAGAAGTTGGCATTAATGTGGAAGCCATGGGCTAGGGAGTAGGGTGGAGCCATATTGTGGCCGGCTTTGAAACAAGAAGGTGACCTTCTGGTAGGGTGAGCTAGGAAAATAGGGCCTGGCGCTCATCTGGGGGCCACGGAGAAGGGACGGAGAAATTTCAGAAGGGATCTGGACGAAACGCCAGGGTTGCAAGGGTGACTCCCCATGGACGAATGGTCTTTCCAGTCTGCATTTCTCACTTCATTTACCCCCTTTCCCGAATGAAGCTGGTCTCAGTCACGTGGTCGTGATCATTCGCAAACAAAAGCTCAGTTTAGAAGGGAACCAGCATTAATAACTCTGGCAGGCAAAGATACTCGGATTGAAGAGAAAAATCTCCCTTATTAACTCTGCTGCTCCACTCTATCTGACACGATTCTGCTCCCCTTGGGCCTTTTGGCACCTTGGGGGCATGCAGCAAATCTGGGTTCCACCCTCACACCCTCTCAAGTTCTCCTCCCCCTGCTGTTAGCTCACAGTGGGAGACCGCAGCCTCTGGCCCTCCCAGCCCTTGCCTCGGCACCCACCAGTGATCGGGAAGTCTAGGAAGGGGGCTCTTTTCCTGAATTCACTCTGTTGCGTAGCTGCGAGCTTCCCCACCAAGGTCCCGTCATCCAGGCCTTCCCTTGTGGGTGAGAGGGAAGGCACAGGCCACACTGTAGCTCCTGTCGCATCACCAGTGTCCCCAGTTGGGTGGATTGAGCAATTTGAAGGGGCCGCCGGGATTAAGGGGATGCTAAGCCTTCCCAGTTGGGAAAACTAGGGCATGGAATTGTGGGACAGGTTCTCAGCTCTGCCTTTCTTGGGAAAGGATACCTTTAAGGGAGAAGTTTAAAGATACTTGATCCCCGAACTCCTGGCAGGGTCCTGAAGCCAAGGCCAGAGGATTTGGAATTCTTTGGGCCCTTGAAATCTCAGATGCAGAGCCTACCTCCTTATTTTCTGCTATATAAATGGACTTATCTCAAAAGATGCTTGGAACCTCAGACCAGGGATTCTAAGACCTGCCTAAGTCAGTCTGGCCCAGTGCTCCCTGTGGTAATGAGCAGGCTCCCTGGGCTGCCCCTGCACCGTGGCAGTGTGCGTGGCAGGCTTCGAGCGAGTGCTCGCAGGCCTGCTGGCCCTTCTAGGCCCACGTTCCCAGCCTGAGTCCGTGTAGGGATTTCAGGTGCTGCACTTGGCCCACTGGGAAGAATCTCTGTTGGGTTTTTTGGGTTTTGGTTTTGTTTTTTTTTTTTTTTGCTTTAAAAAATAAATTTATGCCTGATACCCTCCCCTTTCCCACCACTTTACACAAATGACTACAAATTTGGCCTTGTGGGCAGCTCGGTCCCCCCCTCCGCTGGAGACAATGCCTGGAGTGTGGCCAGTAGCGGGGCTGGAGGTAGGGAAGCCCGAACACCCAACTCTCAACTTCCTTCCCCGTTGCCCCGCCCTGCCTAACCCTCCATAATCACAATGGGGGAAGGAGAATCTAGCAGACTCAATGTCCCCAGGAGGGGTGGGGATCCCTGGCAAGGCAGGTTAGGAAAAACTCCTCGGGGAGAGTAAGTCTGGAGCCAGAGGTCGTTGCCAGAATGGACAAGGAGATGAGCCAGGTCAGCAAGACCGGTGTAGGGGGCGCAGGCAGAAAGGGGGACAATTTGGAGGCTGGGGTAAAAGCGATGTCCTCTGGGCTGGAAATGGGGACCCATTTGGGACGGAGCCAGCCTGGGAGAGAAGCAGCTGTGGTGGCCATCTGAAGGGTCTGAGTTCTGGGCGGCCCAAGGACACTGGGGCCCCCAGGCAGCCTGCAGGAGAACAGAACTGACCTGGGAAGCGAGGGTGGAGTAAGCCAAAGTACTAGGTGGCGCAGAGGGGACCGCACCACAGCTTGGAGACGGGGCCAGGAGGGAGCTTGTCAGCTGTCCTGAAAGTGGGCCTTGGGAGCAGCTGAGGAGGCCTTGACTGCTGGCCTTCCTGTCGCAGGAGTGGGCTGGGCAGAGGGCTCACCCTGACAACGAGGAGAGGTCACAGTCACACCAAGATACAGAAATGCGTAATGAGTACTTGCCACCCCAGAGGGGCTCACGATCTAGATGAACATGCACGGGAGCGATTTGAAAGTGGGTCCTGTGGTTCGGTATACGGGCACAAGTGAGGCCCCTGGGGAGGGCTTCTCAGAGGAGGTGCCCTTTAAACTGCAGCGAAAGCTGAGTAAAAAGCCAGTCTGGGGCCTTGAGGAACCTGGAGTCTCCGAGAACAGCCCATGGAAAGACCTAGAGGCAAAGAGCCCATGCTTGCAGTGCTCAGTAACACACCTCCCTGGAGGATAAAGAAGCAAGTCCCCCAGGGTCTGAGTGGGCAGGGCGGGGCCTCCAGACACCTAGAACAGTGAGGCCAGGTGAGGATGAAGTCACAGAACCTGAAGACCTTTCCTTCCCCTCCCCTGTGCTCCCCGCCGAGGGGCAGCATTTCCTTGCAGATGCAGCCTCCAGTCAGGAGGAGAAGAGGAAGGGGGCTAAGGGAGAGGCACGGGAGGAACGGGAAAGTGGCCAGACGGGGTGACAGCAGAGCCAGAAACCAGAAAACAAAACCGGACTCTTCCCTTGGCGGGAGACACCTCCCCCCCCACCCCCCAACAAGCAGTGCCCCTGAGAGCCACCAGGTAGCCTCAGTTGGTGGCATCTGCTGTGTCTGAAGCCCCCCTCCCTGACCAGTTGGAGGCTGCCAGGGGGCTTCTTTCTGGGACTGGAGAGGGCAGGAAGAGGGGCCGGGAGGACAGCCCAGAGCTGGGTCATGGGCAGGAGAGGGTGGAGGTGCTGAGCATGCGAGAGGTGATTTTTGGCAGGGATTCCTAGATCCCTGGAATGGGGTGGTCATCTTGGGCGCCATGCCCAGAGGGGCAGATCCAGAGAGAATGGATTCTGTGGAGTGGAAGCCGGGGAGTGCAGCAGCTGCAGCCTGAGGCCTTAGTATATGGAGCTGGAGATCCTGCTCCCTCCCGCACCCGGGCCCCGCCAAGAGGCAGCACAAACAAGTATGGCAGTCCCTTGTCAGATTATGATTGCCCCAAGCACTGTGTTGAGGGGTAGGCACCCCAGGAGGGCTCCCTGCCTCAGTGTTCCTCAGGGGCCTCTCTCTGACCAGAAACTCAAAGATGACTTTGGAGAGACCAGGGCAGGGCGGGGGGACCCTAGAAGAAAGGAAGGAAGGGGGAGGAAGAAAGAGGAGGGCTCAGGAGGGGATGGAATGTGGACCCAGGGATGTTTCAGGCAAGGCTGACTTCACCGTGACCCCTGTGTGCGCATGTGGCAGAATTGGGGGTGGGGTACACCTGAAGCTTGGAGGTGGTGGGCAGCGGGCGTGTCCAGACTGATTGAAGAGCACGGGCCGAGAAGCAGGTTCTAAGTCCTTTGTCAAATTCAGAGTGAATCTGGGAGAGTTCTCTTCATCCTCTTTGTTCTAAGGATTGGGTAGAGGAAGTAAGAGGGAGGCAGGAACATCCTAATAATAGTACCAGGGGGATGACTGCTGTCTGGGACGCCCGACTGGCTCAGTCAGTACAGCATGCGACTCTGGATCTCAGGGTCCTGAGTTCAAACCCCACGTTGGGTGTAAAGCATAGTTTGAAAATAAAAGTAAAAAAAGAAAAACAGTACCAAGGGGGTAACTACAGTCTGAGGTGCTTATCTTGCCTTGTGCCCTGGATCTACTAGGCCCTTCCTCCATCTGCACCATCCTGGGTCCCGAGACCTCCTGTGAGAGAGGGTTTCAGGGCACCTCCAGCCCCATTGGGGGGAGTGGATCCTAGCAGGACAGCCACTAGCATCTTTAGGCCATTAGTCCCCAGGGTGACTGGAGGGATGGTAGGGGGTGAGGTGTGGAGCTTAGCAGGGACTCTAGGGACCAAGGCCTTAAAGAGCAGAGAGCAGATCAGGGGCTGGACTCTTCTCAAAGCCTTCAGAACTTGGCTCATTCAACTCTCCAGTCCTTGCCAGGAATGTGAGGGCCTCGGGGTTGACTGTGAGGGCCAGCTGGGGACAGAGGGACTGTGAGGGACAGACGGGTGGCAGTGTTCCCTAGAGCACATCCTCAGGCACTGGGGTCCTCAAGCACCATTTCTGCGCTCAGCCCCCCTGCTGCTCTCTCCATACCCACCCCCCCCAACACACGTCATCCTCTATGAGAAAGTGTAAATTGTTTGCCATTTCGCAAGTAACAGCCCACCTGGGTTATATTTTTACCATGTACAAAAACATTGCAGAGAAGACAATAGAAGATAATACAGAAACCTATTGTCTTCTCTGATCCTTGCTACAGTCTGGTGAGGTAATAGGGCCAGTATACATTTTTTTTAACAGAAGAGGAAACCAAGCCCCAGTGAAAGTTTTTGTTATTTTCTAGCAGTTTCGCTCTGGTTCACATGGTTAGTGCCTGAACCGAAGGTCAGGTGACCCAGTAGAGAGCTTCTGCTGTGTCTACATGGTGTGCATTACGTCCTTCAAAGCTCCAGCAGCCCTGCATTATCCCCATGTCAGACAAGAAAAATGAGGCTCAGAGAGATCAAGCGACATACTCAAGCTGACAGGGACAGAAATGGGTCTCAGATCCTGGAGGACTCCTAATCCAGTGCGCATTCCATTGTACTGGCAGAAGTGCCTTAACTGCTCTGGGTGGAGAAGGTGGGGGGTGACCTGAGGTGTGTTGAAAGCTGGAGACAGGCCCCTGCTACCCAAAGTCACAAGCTGTGCTTTTGCTTTTATGGAGGCCCTGTAGGAAATGGTGTGACTTGGGAAAGATGGGGTGCTCCCTCCCCGACGGGGAGCAAGGGGGATGTCGTGGGGACAGAGCCGAACCAGGTCTCTATTCCTCTGGGCAAGTTTGGGTTCAGATCTCAACCTGAGGGGTGGGTGCAGGGGAGGTGCTTGGGGACGCCCCTCTGGGAAAGAGGGGTCCCAGTCCTGAAGGGTTGGAAAGAGAAAGAAAGGAGGGAAACCAGGCAGGCCCAGCAAGGACTCTTCTAGCTCCTGCTTATGGTGGGGGAACATCTAGAGACACACTCTGGCCACAGAGCCACAGAGAAGCAGGTGGGGGCCTGGGCCAATCAGGGGGTCCTTGTACCTGCCAGGGAAGTGGGCTAGGTGTGAGGCAGGGCTCCATGCCAGGGAGAGTATTAAATGAGCTTCCAGCTTATTTGCATGTCCTAATTAACCATAAAATGAGCCCCAGGGGCAGAATTAAGCTGTGAATTTCCCTCTGCTAACTTCCACTACCTCCCCCTCATCCCGCTGCTCCCCACCCCTACACTTTTCCTGCATCACTTAGGCCCCAGGCATTCCCATTCACCTCTCCCCTCAGCTTCAGTGAAATACACTCTCCATCCTGTCACAACAAAAGCCCAGAAAAAGAAGGAAAAGGAAAAACTAGTGGTGGTGGTGGTGTGTGTGTGTGTGTAAATGAACTGGCCATAGTCTTTCATTAGCAAAGCATGACCTAGTGATGAGGGCATTACACCAGCCCAGTCAAGACCAGGGCAAAATTCCCCCACCGGACAGTGAGCATTCCATTTACTATCCATGCATGGATAATATGGGGAGGACAGGTTTTGTTGTTGTTCCTCTTGACTTGGCTTTTGGAGCAGAAATGGACACTTTGTGGGGTAGTGTGCAAAGCACCAGGCTGGGAGTCTATCGCGACCGGTTCACTCCCAGCTCCGCCGCTGTGACCTTGGGCAAGTTGCTTGCCTTCTCTGAGCGGCTCCACGTAAAGTAAGGGGATCAGCAGCCCCTTTCAGAGTGTGGTGAGAAGGAAATGAGAACACAGAGATGGCGGCGCCCGATGCCTGTGAGTTCTGTTGGTGGCAAATGTCACTCCTAATTGTTTTGTTCTGGCCTGAGTTAAAATGAGTTTTCATTCCCTTGGATCCCTTCTGGCCAACCGTTGGGTTAGGAGTTGCTGCTTCTCACTGAACCCCTTGAGCCAGGAGCCCGGTCCTTTTCCTTGCTGTTTTGAGTTCCTGTCGCAGTGCCTGGCACTGGGAGGTGTGCAATAAAGTTTGGTTCACTTGGTCCGGATTGCCATGGCCGGTCCACAGAACAGATGGGTCACAGATGAATGGCCAAGAGGGGACTTGGTTTCCTGTGGAATCATTCCGGATTGAAAGCTTGGTGACTTCACCGCGGCCTAGTGAGAGGACCCTTTCTCTCTCTCTCTCTCTCTCTCTCTCTCTCTCTCTCTCTCTCTCTCTCTCTCACACACGCACACACACGCACCCCCCCCCCGCGCCCCCCAGCAAGGCAGGCACAGCCAATGGGCCTTCACCCCACACTGAACTATCTCAGTTCCCCGGGGAGACAGAAAGGATGAGCGGGGACTTGCTCCTCCAGAAAAGGGCTGGCTCTACCAGCAAACTCCGGGGACAGGAGAAAAGGCCGTTTTGCAGCCAGACAATCCTGTTCCAAATCCTGGCTCCTCCATTAGCTAGAAGCCTGATCTGGGCAGCCTCTCTGACCCCTAAAGAGCCCCCACTGATTTACCGGGAAGATGGTACTTTCTAGGGCCATTCTGAAGTTTGGAAGGCATGGTTCTGCACACTGCCTGGCAAATAGCGAGCACTGGAGAAAATACCTAGAAGTAGCACCTTTCGTCTGGTAGCTTCCGCCACCAAGAACCAAACATCTCCCACGTGATGGAGCGGGGGTCTGAGAGTGACCCTAACTGGCCCCACCTCCGGCTGTGGGGGGGCCGCGCGAAGCCTCCTCCCTCCGCCATCTTGGTCTCCAGGGGTCCAGGATGCAGGAAGAGCCTCGCTTGTTATTCTTCTCCTCCAGTTAGCTGTTAATGCTCCGAGGGCGGGAAGGCGGCTTGCGTCTAATTGCAGCTGTCACCCCCCATCAGCCGGGAGGGGCGAGGGGAGGAGAGGGGGAGGGCCTGCAGGGCGGGGCCGGGCCCAAACAGGGACCCGCATTGTCTCTTCCCAGCCAGCGGGCGTTCCCTGCGGGGCGGGAGGGCCACGTGCGCCGCTCCAGGAAAGCTCTAGGCGCCGCGCGATCGGAGCGGAGCTGCCCGCCCGGCCCTTCCCCTTCCCCGCCGCCGGTCTGGTCCGGCCAGACGGGCCTCCGCGCCCAGCGGGGAGGGAGGCCGCGGGGTGAGGCTGGGAATCTAAACATGAGTGCGCGCGTCGAGTGGGCGCACCTTCGCCGCGCCGGCGGATGCCCGTGCGCTTGTGTCCGGGGTGCGGGTTCGGTGCTGGAGGCGGGGTGCGGGGGGAAGGAGCGCGTGTGACTCCAGGGCTGCACTGCTCCGGTCTGCCTCCTGCCCGCAGGGGGCGTATCTAGGCCGGCTTCCTCACCTGGGAGATGGGGGTGGTAACTGCCCTACTTGCTTACTCAGAAGATGACATGAAAAGGCTTTCCAACGTTTAAAGTGCTATACAGATAGATATCTTTCCTGTGCTTTTGAAAAGACATAGGGCTATCTCAAGTACTCCCCTGGGTACACTCCTTATTCGGCCCATGTCTCAGGACCCGGGTACGGGCTGAAATCTTAAAGGCGACAGGGAGTGGGGGTGGGAATCTGCTGATCCCCATCCCAGGAGGGCTGGGGTTTCCATGCCTGTGTCTGGAGCAGTGCCTTGCCAGGGAAGCCAATGGTTATAAGGTTGGGGCCAGGTCGGGGGCCTCTCTGGGGGAACCTGAGACCCCAGGGCCCTAATCCATACAGAATGTTCAACTGAAGTCTTTGGGGGCCCTGAAGGAATGTCAGGATTGCCTGGTCTCCTCCCCCGGCCCCTCATTGTCACCTGCAGTCCCAAAGTGAGCACCACTGTCTCTCTCAATGTCTCTCTTTCAGCCCAGGAGCCCTCACCTCCCCACAAGCCAGCCTCTCTCAACCACACACTGGTCAGCCCTGCTCCAGACACTCTTGCTGCTTCTCCCTCCTTTCTGGAGGAAAGGAATTCGGAGTTAGGCTTTTGAAAGCCATAGTGCCCACACCCCATCCTTCCCAGGGCCCAGCACTGGGACCCGGTCATGTTGGGTTCAGTCAATGTTCTGTCTCTAGGACTCAGACCCAAACAGCTGTGTTAATATCAAAGCCAGAAGGTGAGGGTTCCAGGGCCTTGGGGCAGCTTGTGGAAGGACGTTCCCCCCTTCTGGGCTCTGCAGTGCCCAGGAAGGGGAAATGCCCAGAGCCCTTGGAATGGCTCCGCTTCTTGACCTTGTGTGAGCGGGCGGCTCTGGGCTCGGAGACCGTGGGCGTCACCCAGCCTGGCTTCTCCTTCAGCAGCCGGTCTCGGTCAGGCCGCACACTGCGCAAGAACTTCCTAAAGATGTTCGCTGTGAGGGCAAACCTGCGGCCCAGCTCCCTGGGCTGGCCCCTCTCCCCTTTGGGCTCCCCCGCCTCCCCCTTCTCCCCACCCTTCTCCACTTCTGGCAAGTCCAGCCAGTTGCCCACCAGGTCTGCAAAAACGTTGTCACCTAGCACCAGAGGTTGTCGGTTCCGGCCCCGGGACATCAAGGTGGAGGTCCAGTCTTCCGGTTCCATCAGCTCTGGCCCCTGCCGGGCACCGCTTCGATGCTCCAGTCGCTGTGCCCTGGGCAGGGGGGCCAGGTCCCGCCCACAGGCACTGCTATGGGATGGAAACTTGGCGCCAAGAGAAGGTTGGTTGGAGATGGGGCAGGCTGCAGGCGTGGCAGGACCTCTGCCACCCTCCCATGGAGGGGGCTCGGGCTGCGTCCGGGGGCTTTCCGGGCAGTCCGGGGCAGGACTCCCTCCGGAGATCTCCAGCTGTTCCAAAGCTGTCTGCACCTGGAGGAGCTTCAGTTCTTGCAGCGCGCCCATCATGCAGTTCATCTGGTCCTGCAAGCCATCACCCACTTCCTTCATGGACATCTGCGGGCGAGAGGGAGAGCGCAGGCCAGTGAGCCGTGCGGGGCTGGGGGAAGCGCTGCCCCTCATTGGCCCTGAACCTAGACTCCCCACTGCCCACATATACACCTCCAGGTCATTCCAGCCGGCCACTGACCCCACCTCCGTGGGGCCCAGTACAGTGCAGCTCAGAGCTGGGAGAGGAGGAATCTCAACGCTGATATGGCTGCATAACATGTGAATGGCCGCTAACATGCTAAGGCAGGTGCTGTCCTCGGCCACATGTATGTGACTATGCATACACATATATCAATTAATCTTTCTTTTAAAAAAGATTATTTATTTATGTATTTATTTGAAAGAGAGGGAGAGCACAGAAGGAGAGGGAGAGGAAGAAGCAGACTCCACACTGAGCAGGGAGCCCAATGCGGGGCTCGATCCCAGGACCCTGGGATCCTGACCTGAGCCAAAGGCAGACGCTTAATGACTGAGCCACCCAGGTGACCCGAGTTGATCTATCTTTAATCTCACCAACTAGTCAATGAGTTAGTGACTATTCTTGTTGCCATTTTACAGATGAGGGGGAGGAGGCACGTGAGTAAGTTGCTCAAGGTCAACAGAAGAGGTGGAGCTGAGACCGGTTCGAGGGTGCACGCAGCTCTGGTGGCCATCCTTGTCCTTTTATGTGCTGTGCCCTCCTCTTCCCGAGCCTCCCCGAGATGATGATGATGATGACGGCCACGACAGTTTGCAGGTGTTTACTATTTAATAGGGATTGAGCTAAATGCTCTATGCCCCTCACCTCTTAGGATCTTTGTATAAACCCTATGAGGTTGCTATTGTTCTCATTTTAACAAGTTAACCCTGGTGGGGCGGAAGTAACCTGCCCACGGTCACATACGCAGCTCATATGGCTGGGACTCAAACACGGGACACTCACTCCAAATGCTATGGCCCTAACTACCGAGCACTGCCTGCTTCAGGATGGCGGGGCAGTGGCTGGGCTTTGAGGGCGACGCTGCCCTCCCCGGAGCAGTGGAGAAGGCTGGAAAGGAACAGGAGGGTAAGACAAGGAGCTCAGATTCCCGAAGAAAAGGGGTAGGCCGGGGGTTTCCTTTCACTGCTGTGCACATCTGGCCAGTCCGGAGAGAGAGATGGAGGCCAGGAAGCTCCTGTTTGCAGAAGCTCTTCCCACCCCTTCTCTGCCTTCCAAACACCTGTCCTCCCTCAGCTGCTCTTAGACTTGGCTCCCGTGCTCTTCCTGCCTTCTCAGCCCAATTGGCTTCACGGCTCGGGCCAAGAGTGGGGACACTGGAGGCCAGTCCCCCAGTCCCTTTGTGGGCGTCTAAGGCCCGGGTCCCAGGTGCCAGCTGGAAGGGGCTGAGAGGCTGACTTGGGCGAGGGCCGAGTTTGGAGGCTGGGCAGGGGATGCGGTCTGATAACATTCACAGTCCAAGCTGCCTTGGTCCCGCCAGCTCCCTCCCCAGATCTGCTCATGTTACCAACAGCAAACCTCGCGTGAGGGGACCATCTGTTTCTTAAGCCCCCCAGAGACCCGCTGGGATCATCTTACCTCCCAGCCTTGTCCTAATGCACAGAACTAAGCCCACAGGGTGGAAAGCTGGAGGGATTGGGAGGGGAGGCACAGAAGTGCTCAGGGGAGCACGGACAGCTGACCCTCTTGGGCTTTGGGTCAAATCCTCCCCTGCCCACCCCAACCCTGGCGGGGGCGGGGGAACCACACCAGGCTCTCCTGAGCCGGCAGCACTAACACCCGGAGGACTAACTGGGAGGCCTTTGCTGAGTGTGGTGGTCAGGGGCGGGGGGATGGGGGTGGGGCCCTGGCAACCCTGGGATTTGCCAGATTGCCCGGGCAAGCAGGCTCCATTTGAGTGGCAGCTACAGCAAGAGATGCAGCCTGGGAGGTGGCTGTGCTTGCTGACGGCCCCTTCTCTGACCTCTTTGGCTTCCAGCCTCCTGACCGATTCTCCTTTCTGAGACAGCCCAGCCGCAGCTGAGAAGACCCAGGGCAGAGTCGGAGGAGACCCTAAGCCTCCAACCAAACTCCTCCAGGTCTCTAACTGCTCACCGCTTCTCTGAATTCCCTTTATCTGCCCTTTCCCTCAAACCCCTTTCCTCCTCACCCCAACCTAGACCTCAGAGTCCCTTTTGGCTTTTCCACCCAGGGCCCCTGCTCTTGTCCCCAGATGTCTCACATCTGCTTTTCTGTCTCCTGGAATGCAGAAGCCTCCTGGAAGGCTTCCGGCCACCAGATCAGGCTTCCCAGCACGCTCCTGTGATCATGTCACTCAGAAGCGTGTCTCAGTCCCCATATGTGTGCCCCCGGCTGCTGTCAGAACCTCTTAAGTGACACACCTCAAATGCCCTTCCCTGGAGTGCTACTCACCTCCCCGCCCCGGCACCCCCACACATTTAAAGGCTCAGTTGTTCGTGAGACATCCATTGAGCATCTACCATCGAGGGCAGGGTCGGAGATCTACGCATTATTAGGTCTCCCCAGAACCCAGCTAGCACCTTGCCCCAGCCACACACCCAGAAAACATATTGAGTACCCCTGAATGCCCCAAGTCATCTCTCCAGACCTGCTGCCCTCGGGCAGTAACACACTCCACAGGGAGAAAGAGTCAGGGATGTGGCTCGCAGCTGCATTTCACCAACGGGCAAGGAGTCTGAGCTTGCAGGCTTCCTTCCAGAAGGCTGAACACAGTCCAGGTCAGAGGCAGTGGGAGGAATGAAATGACCCCATTCAATCTCTTCCAGTATGGAAAAATCCTGAAGAAATAATGCTGACATTTTGTACGGTTTTCCAGTGAGAAATGTATGTGGGTATGTATGAATTCAGGGCTGCCCATAAAACAGAGGCCCCATTTAAGTAAACAGGGGGTGAAGTTACAGCCCTTTGGAAAATGATATTCTGCACTGGTTAAGGTCTTCAGTTCTAGAGACAGATGGCACAGGGTTCAAATCCCAGCTCGGCCACATAGTAGTAGCTGTATGACCGGGACCAGTTATTTAAATTGTTCTTCAGTTTCTCGGTTCTCCCACATGGGAATAAGAGTTTCTGCCTCGTACAGCTCTGGCCAGATGAGGTGAGGTCATAAGTGTTTATGCGTGACCTGGAGGTGAGTTCTGGCGGTTATCATAAGACTTCCTAAGAACTTCCAGAACACTTCTTCTTCAGTAGACCTTAGCACATAGTAATGACAGGACTCCATTCATCTACCCAGTGCAATCAAGGAGAAACACGACTCTTGTCCTGTCCCTTCTGTCCCACCCCTGCCCCCCACAGAGGAAGAGCCAGGGAAGGAAAGGGAAGCCCCGCATCCTCTTGCCCATTCTCAGGCCGGCTTGGTTGGCCAGCCGCGGTGCTGACACTGAGGGTAGAAGACAGCTGTGAGAGGGGAGACCAGAGGAGAAGGAAGTGTGGGAGGCGGGGAGGCCGGGGCATCAGCTGGGTCTTGACTGAGAGCGAGTTGCCTTTCCCAGTCCCAAGGGGAATGATGTCACCCCGGGAGAAAGAGCCAGAGGGCAAGCTGCTGTCTTCGTCTGGAGCGTGGGACCTTCGCAGATCCCAGGGTTTCTCTTGCCTCAGGAACCCAAGAGGGAACAGTGTGGGGTGGGAGCAAAGGAGAGGGGCCAAATCAGAGAAGATGCCGAACTAGAAATGATCGCCACTAAATCCCGGTCCCCAGACTGTGGGGGTCTGAGTTCCTCTCTGGCCTCCCAGTGCCAGAGCCTCAGGTCCTTCCTCAGGACAGGGACCGAATCATACCCAGCTTGCCCTCGGGGGCCAGTTGGAAAAGCCCTAAGAGGGTCTAGTTTGTTCTGATTAGTCTGAGTGGGAGTGGATCTAACAGCCATCTCCCCTCTGTCCACCCCTAGTCACGCTCACTGACCCGCACGCATGCCAGGCAGACCTGCTCCACCATCAGACATACTTCCCCAGCAGCACATCCCAGAGACGGGTGTGGGACTCCTTGCTGAGAAAGACCATGAAGGTCTCACCACCCTCCTTGCAAGCACCCCCTGCCGCCACCAGCCATCTCCTATCTCCTGGGGCCTCCTGGGCCTCGAAATGTTTCAACCTAAAAGTTTTCTTTCTTTCTTTCTTTTAATTTTATTTACTCATTTGTCAGTGACAGAGAGAGAGCACACAAGCAGGGGGAGCAGCAGAGGCAGAGGGAGAAGCGGCTCCCTGCTGAGCAAGGAACCCGACATGGGACTCGATCCCAGGACCCCAGAATCATGACCCAAGCCAAAGGCAGACCCTTTAACCAACTGAGCCACCCAGGCGTCCCCTAAAATTTTCTTCACGTCACGCTTCAGTCTCTCCTGCTGCAGTTCAAACTTCCTCCGTGTGTGAGAGCTGGATGGCCCCCAGGCACCCTCCACGGGAATCCTAGCTGCCTAACTCAGAGGATTCCGGCCCTAAAGTGATGCTCTTCGCTCTCGCCTTGTCGGACCCCCACAGTTACTGTGGTAAGCTGGTGACCCCACTGTACGGAGTAAGAAATGGGATCTGAGATGTTCATTTTCTTCCTCAACATCCTTCCCTAGACTGACTTCACAGTTTTCACCATATCCATGGAGGAGCTCATCTCCTACTTAATGCTGCATGTAAATCTGTTTGTGTAAATAAACGTATTCATGTAGGAACTTACATGAAATGCATACACTTGCCATAAACAGATGGTAACTATGTAAAACTACAAGTTCTTCACCTGAGTATCACATAATGTCATCCCGAGTGCCTCCAGTGCAAAGGCAGATTTATTGGCTGGGTCCGAGGCGTATTCATGGGAAGACTGGGCCCCCAAGCCTGGCCCTCTTACTCCAGGCCAGTGGGCTTCCCGTGTCATCATGATGTGGCTTCTCAGCCCCGTGGGGTTGTTGTGAGAAGAACCCAGGAGAGTCAATGCGACACGCAAAGCACAGTTATCATCCTATGGGGAGGAAGAGCACGAAGTCTTGGAGGGACTCCAAGACCCAGTTCAGTTGCTTTC